ACACACACACACACACACACACACACACACACACACACACACACACAAATACATTCAAATTAAGAACCTCCTCCTTTTTTAAAGTCGGTTAAAAATAAAGTTTGCTGCCGTTAGAGATAATTGGCATGCCGAGGGACAGATTTTTGCGTAGCAGCACTAGGGACACTATTGCAGGCTAAATAAAAAAAACCGAAGCAATATAGGAGGAACTACACTTTTTACGATACAAAATAATTTATGTGCATTCAAGTTATTGGACATCGAAACGAAGTCGAATTTTAAAACTGTCCGTATTCCAAATGACATATCTGTTCCGGCATAAATCTACGCTGCAAGCTGCTCGGGCTGCTGATTGAACGAGGTTAGACGAAATCGGCTTATCGATGGGGCTGGAATAATTTCATCTGAGTTTGCAACGTCTGCCATGTTGGCATGCAAATTGACAATGCCTGCATCTGCTTTTTTGAATCATCTATACGTTCTAATCCAGAAACTAAGTTCCATTTGCACTTTTCCTACTCTACAGATTTAAACGTGTAGATATTGTATATCTATGGGCATGATGTGGAGAAGCAGTTGAACGTATTTGTACGGACAGCAGCATATCCAGCTAAATGTTTCATATGTTAACAAATTACAAGAGAAATAGTCAAATTTTGGATTCTAAAGATCAGCACAAGGCTTCGTCAATAGGCATTAAAATACAAAAACGAGGGATTTGCAAGATATTTCGTCAAATATTCTTAACCTAAAAAAATCCCGCCCTGTATCGTGGCCAACTCAAAAGATCCTATTACACCGGCAGCATTGCCTCGCTGGATGGCAATGGACACCTGTCGACATTGCACGACTAATGCGATACGCAGAATACCGCCATTCTCGCATGGAGATATCGTGCTGGCCCTACTGCTGAACTAACCACGACCCAGAGCATTGATTTTTAGATAAACATTGACGGATCTTGTTTTCTTGTTCTACAGGCGATATTCGAACTAAAGGTAAAATAAATAACGCTCACAGACATGGACAACCAAAAATGACACCCAACTAACTAACTAGGGAAATAAATGTAGGTACCTCTAATATTTGACCTCTGCGTGGCAGACCAGGATGCTAACCGTTCGGTCACGGAGGCAGTTTGATGTGTATACAAGCCTAGATATAATTTTAGTGTTTTTAAAAGACTAGACACTTTTTTCTTTATTTAACTGCCTTTTAATTTTTATCGTGGCCTTGGATTCAAACCCCTACAGTTTCAACATTGAAAAATTCGCATCCGCGTCCGCTTCTGCAAATGTTATAACCCACATACGCGGCATACCCGATAAGCAGTTTACCACAGGAATTCAAATATTGATTTTCGAATTTTGATAATAAATGCTTCGTTGCTGACGTTATTCACCTTTATTGAGAACAACACGTACGTACTACATACTTCGTCGTATTGTTAATGGCCGTGATAACGTTTAATCTAAGAGAATCATTAGCAATCAGCACTGATAATACCGGTAATGAAATTAAAGTAAGAGATAATGAAAGACCTAAAGGATTCATGTTCATATTCTAAGTGATAAGAAAATTCAATAGACGTCATTAAATTTGCGAATTGTAAACATTAGCTGAAACTATAGTGCATTTTATTTCGCTTTTAATATTTTAACTGTCATGTACTTACATAAAAGGTATATAGTGAGGTGAATAAAAAATGTATAAAAATATATTGTTTTTATCTATTGGACTGTTCTTTATTGGTAAGTATCAAAATGATATCAATGTTATGTTAAAGATAATAATTATAACAAATTAAAGCAATTTTTTTGGATAGAGTCACCCGAGAATATGTCAAGAGCCGGCAGCTAACTTGCCCGACGTATTCGCGTAGCTTTAGAAGGGGGTACGCCGCCAGCATTTTGGGCACCTCGCAGCGGCGACCCAATTTTATTCATATAATAAGTATAAAATGATTGATAAAGAATACCTAGTCAAATCTTTTGTATTTTTAATTATACGCTAGTTTTGCAATGATTAAATTTCATTGCCAATTCAAAAGAGCATTTGTCACTCAATTGCACCTAGCATTCATGGACATTATTTGCTCGCAAATTCTTTTACTCTTATAATTCCTATCTTCACGGAGATCTTTTAAAATCTGTCTGGTTTTAAAAAGAGCGCTAGGACGGCCCGTGAATGACCAACACAACAAAAACTTATATACCTTTCGACAGGGAGATTTTATGTAAATACCTTTCTGTGATGGTTTATACTTGCTAGACCGCTGATAAGATTTCATTGACACGCGAAGTATTTTTCAAATATTCCAAGCGACGCAACTAAAAAGTTTTGCATGCAGATATCCGATTTACACATTTATTTATCGTGTATTTTCGACGATATTGAGTGAAAAAAGGTGCATATGAGGGACATATCTATGGGTGATTCTATCCAATTTATAATTTCACACAATGACACTGTACAAGTTTTCCTGTGTACACAGGGTTATATTACTAACAATCTCGTAGAGTTTTATTACAAATATTATTACATTTGTTCCATGACTTGTAATAGTTAATCAAATTTACTTTCGTATAAAAAAAAAATAAAAAAATAGATCGCTGTAAAAGGTGATAACTCTGTGCGGTAACAAAAGAAAGCGCTGGCATAAATACCTATCCGATGTAAAACGCAGGAGCGAAGGTGGGGTTCGTCCGGTAGAATGCTTGCATATTTGAACTTACATCTTCTTCTTAAGGTGCCTCTTCAACTAGTGAAGGTTGGCAGTTAGCTCAGCATATTTATCCTTATTTCTGGCAAGGTTGAACAGTAGGACGGCGCTCACTATCCAAATCCACTCTCGTATGTTCTTCAGCCACGATTTTTCCTACGACCAGCTTTCCTTGTACCAGCGCCTTGTCCCTTCATTATATTATTGAACCTACTACCAAATACAAATCTAAAAGTGTCAGATAGAACAACAACAACTTTTAGTTTTGGTAAATTTATTATTTTTAGTAAAAAATCATGGAATAGAAGTTGATGTTCATAATGTTAATAATATAATCCTGGAAGGTTGTAAGTATTTTACAATTAACCCTATATAGGTTAATTGACTATTGGTTGTATAACCTGAAGTCGGTAACCTAAAATTCCCGTACAAAATGCATTATGCTGATTTGACTTTTGCATTTAGGCACAGCCGTGATAGCTGACGATGAGGAATCCACGAGGGTACGGCGATGTTTCCAGTTCACATGGCTTGGACCGGCGTATACAAACACTAGTAACTTTCTGAACGGAACATGTGAAGAAGCCACCCGTTTGGCTGACGGGGTGCCCTGCCAACGCCCTCTGGTCGCTTCTTGTAAGACATTTTCTTTATTTGAGTGCTTCTTAATTAAGTCGGTAATTCAGTGCCGTTCGGAAACGGATGCGCTCCATTACGCAGTGAGAATTAATTCGAGTTTCGATAATAGGCGCGTAAGTGGCAATGGGTTCCCAACAACTCATAGCCAATGAGATTTTGGCGTTTATCCAACACGCTATCGATACCATGGAGGGTGCTGGTGAAATTACGGGCACCTGGGACTTGTTAACTTATGTCTCAGGGTGACGGGCGCAGTGGCAGTGCGCCTAAGATCTTGTGATTTAAAGCTCTGAGTGGCACTGCAACTGTTATGGATAGGCGTGTCGCTTACCACCAGGCGCACGACTTGTTCATCCCGTCACTTAGTATTATATAAAAAAGCGACTCGCCTGTCCACATCAGTGCCACTCAGAGCTTTAAATCTAATCAAAGATGTGAGGGATACTGCTACTGCGCCAAATATGTTGATACTTCCCCGGACGAACTCGTTCACAAGGAGTTCTACTGCTACTAAAGCTACCTATTTCTTAACCAGCCATACTGATGAGTAGGTACTTGCAATGCCGCCTTCACAAAACTCTGTGACGACGTTTTTGAACAAAATTGAAGTGTATTTAGTTTAGTTTTTGGGATCTCATGGATAAGCATAATTATTTTTGCAATACCCTTGCTAAATTTTCTTGCGATCCTTGTCATTTTCAGACGATGGAACATGGCCCGACATAGACTACATCTGGAGAAATTATTTACTTAATGCGTCCTGCATACTCGCCAGGAATGATGTGTGTGCTAAGTTCACCTATTATTTCGATGGACATGGTAAGTCGCGATATACACAAGTTGGTTTGTTCTTTAACTTATAAACAGGTTACAATACCTGCATAATATCGTACGTAACATTTAATCTCTTATGACCCTGCGAAGTATAATGGAAAAAGCTCTAAACGCCAATGTTGTACATATATCAAAATGTACTAAATATAGTCGATACTTTATTGCATATTACAATGGAATATATAAGGTGGTAGTTAATTACATGCTTCAGACCTATGCAAGATGTCCTCAGTTTTGTATGAAAAACGTATTTTCCTAGATACCCTATGGTCTAAGTAAGGCCAGCAGACAGGGGACGGGGATCCCCTGCCACATTGCACGGTCTCATCCGTCTGGGGGGATGGGTCAAGCGAGCCGACCCCTCCCCTCTTTAGCGCGGGAACCTTGCTGGAAACCGAGGTGGCCGGGGGCGTTTGTCATAGTGGTGAATTTGCGGAATCCCTCGGCGCCTACAATACCTGTCCAATAGGACAAGCCGGGAGGGTTTTAGTGGGTATGTCCTCCACCTGGAGGGCACTTCTACTAACTCTACAACACCCTTTCAGATCTGCAACGGATAAACATGTCATCTAACTAAATTAATAGAGTATTTTCATCTAAGACAGTTTGGAATGTTACCTATTCTTTTTTTTTTGTCATTTGCAGTGGAAAACGCGACCTACATGTGTACTAGAGCTATAAATTCGAGGGGACAAGCCATCACAAGTGGATGTTACGATGAAGTCAACGGTAGTTTTTCAACTAGAGTCTGCTTATGCCGTTCTGAACCAGGATTAGTTCCTTGCAACAACGCAATATGGTCGACTAACATTTCTATAATTTCCTTCTTCATTTCTTTTCTGATGGCTTGTTTCATTGTTTCATCATAGAAACTTCGTAAATATATACATGTACATGGTGATTTGATTAAGATTAATTTTTTTTAAGTCTCTTTAATTTTGTGCCTTCTTTCATTTTAATGTTAGCTCTTAAATATATATTTTCTTTACTTATTACTGAAATAAAACCACAGAATATTTCTTAAATGGTAAACATTAAAATAAGGTAAGTAAGTAATAAATGACAATCGAATGGGGGCCAACAGGTGGCTACAGAGACGTGAGACGTCCTTTGCCGTGTCAGGCGTATATCTGTTAACTGAGTTACGGGTAACAACTCTGAATCGTATTTTTTCTACCTACTGCATCCACCCATCAAAAATTGATTTGAATATTGTCCACCAGTTCCTTGAAATTGGCTGTCATGTAACTTTGATTTTGCCATAGTGAATTATGGCTAAATACTGCATCTGAAGTTACAATGTATGAGCGCGACAAGTTTCTCACACGACGAGCAAAATGTATCTCAGTTTACTAAAGTTACATGAGTTAGCCGTGACTGAGTTTGTATGAAGATTTGGAAGACCATCTCACTTGATGAAAAACAACGATGAAGTCGCGGATGTAGCATGAACACCATCTTTTTGAATAGATTAGATCGTCTTCTTAAAAACTGCATTAGGTTTATTTTTGGTCTGCGGAAGTATGACCACATCTCTGCTTATCGTCGTCAACTAAATTGGCTTCCCATCCGTGAACGCAGGTCCTTAAGAATTTTAACCACTCTTTTCTCCATCTTGTTCGACCCGGCTGCACCTGATGTAAAATGTAAATGTTCATTTCAATTTCAAAACGCTCGGCCGGGTTGCGAATTTCGATCTTCCCGTAGCCTTAAGCTCTCTATTCCTTCTCACCGCACTGATTTTTTGTCTAATTATTTTACTCTTTATGCAATCCGTCTTTGGAACGCGCTCCCGCTCCGTGTAAGACAAGCTCAGACCAAATTATCTTTCAAGCGCATGTTGCGCAAGTATCTGTTTGACAATTGTCAAAATTAAGACACTGTATAATGTTGCTTTGGGTACACATATCATATTATTTATTATTATAATATATACATGTAAGTTTATTATTATGTATAATAAGTATGTTTACTATATTGTTCTTCTTGTTTAAGTGTAGCAACAACCTATTGTATTTTTTTTCTGTTTGGCCCAATGGTTGACTGGTAGAGAATGCCTTATGGCATTAAGTCCGCCATTTGTACTTCAGTGTATTGTACAATAAAGTTTAAATAAATAAATAAAGGCTTTAGTTATAGCGTTCAGGGAATAAATCGGCTAGCAGAGAATTCTACTTCATAGCCGTTTGCCATAAAAATGAGGCGGAACTAAATTTTGCAATTCCATCAAATACTCTTCATGATATATCTTGTAGAACACGGACAAGCAGGCAACTTTACGGCGGTAATCAAGGCTCTGCAGCTTCCCATCTACTAAGCCGAGTCACCCACAAGTCTCTTCACAGGGACACATACATAGGTAAGCGTCTTGATACGCTTTTCAACTAAATCCAAGGCGGCCAGTTGGTATTTAGCAGAACAATCTCATAGGTGGCAGCTGTATTCAATACACGACCGAACTAGTGCTTGGTACAGCTCAAGTAACTATCGCGGTGCGTGTGCTCACCCGAGGCACTAGCCTCTTGGGAGCCGGATGAAATCAGTGACAGTCTATGACAACCCTGTACACTGGCTAATCTGGGGTCAGAACCTGAATTTAGAAAGTTTCCGTGCACGCATAGTTTATAGTGCCCTTCTCGTATACCTTAAGGAACTAAGATCACTATAATTAAAAGTAATGTAGACAAATATAGGGATCTCCCGATGTGTGTTGTCCCTATCTATTGACCGGAGAGATAAGGGGTTCCGGGGAGACTACGGGCTCTTTGGTAAGACCAGTGTACGGCGAGCGACCGGGCCAAGCCCTGACCCGGACACAGACACTGGATATGGACTCGCCGGGGCTTGTGGTAACTGTAGAGACGAAAATTTTCGTCTGCCCGGTGATGTGTGGCTGGGGGTCTGTCTTGTGTGCTACTAGCGCATCTTAGTAGCGGTCTAGACGAGGGCCTAAGGCAAGGTAAGTTTCCCGTATAGTTGAAAGCTATGTCCGGAAATTGTCACAACACACTGCGACCGACATCTCCGGCACAAGCTCAGAGAGCTAATAGAGGATGAGCTAGACATTTCTCCGGTCCCTCCAGTCGCGTAGCTTCTGGGAAAAAAACAGCTCCACCACCAAGTGGATATTTGATAATGGACTTTAGAGTCAACGGCTTAGCGGTGGCAACTGTTAGTTGTGAAATGCACAACGGGAAGTGAGCGTGCCAACAACTCCGGTACCTATCTGGAAAATAGGGAGGGTACTGTACGTGCACCCGGAGCGGCTCACCCGAGGCACTAGCCTCTCGAGAACCGGATGATGTCAGGTTGTAGTGTCCTTCCTGCATAACCAAAAGATTGATATGGAGGGTCACTGTAATCAAAACACATGTTGAAGATACGGGGCTGTCCCGGTGTGAAATAACGCCTCATCCTGGAAAGGATGACAAGCTGCCTCGCTGCATTTTTGGCTATGGATTCTATGCGTAGATACGCTTAAAAAATTTGCGTGGCAGATCCCGACAAAGGCTGTAGATATATCCAAAGACACTGCAAGAGCTTGGCCAACCCCTTTCATACCCTCAGTCCAAACGTGTCAGGCTTACGCCACAAGATCATCCGTAGATTGACCTTGTCGGAATCGGTACTGGCGATCACTGAGGAGGTCACTGTCTTTAAGGTACGACTGGCGGCCGTTGTTAACTACACGTTTTAAAGTCTTGCAAAATATGGAAATGATTGAGATAGGCCAATAGTTGACAGGGTCAGATCTGCTTCCATTTTTAGGCTCAAGTGCACGTTTGATGCATGCTTTCACGACCTGAGAACTAAACCAGTTTGAAGTGAGAGCGATACAAGCGTGTGAGAACAGGAGACAACTCAGGTGCACAGTTACGCAGTGCTATTGTAGGAATTCCGTCTGACCCGCGATTTCTTTTCTTTATTTTTACAGAGGGTTTTATCTTTATAGATATGCCACCCTCATAGGGGTGATACTGAGATATTACAATCTAGGTATTACTAATTTCACAACGTTGTATAACATCCTGGCCTCCTTAGACAAGGGGCTGGCCAAGATGCTGTTGCATATGCTGAACACAGCGTTCAGTCCGGAATCTGTTGTCTTAACACCTCACTCCTAACACACTCCATTATCACATGATAGACGTCTTCTGTTGTCGCACATATCCCACAGTTTGGTGAAGGAACCTTTGACATCAGATATCCGAACTTGTTCAAAGGAACGTATCCTAAGCGAAGTCTTAATGCTGTAACTAATTCACTCCTGGACTACTAACTTGGGGTCCATTGGGACATCAGAGTATGATATGTAATACACCATTCCCAAACGCAAGACTTCGACTACAGCATCAACACAAATCAACGAGTCCCCTGAAGAAAAGCAAGCCTGTCAGGGATATGAGGCAATGTGAAACCATATGAGATTCAACGTCTGGGATCCTGATGAGCAACTGACAAACTGGGAAAGGCTTAGCGTTAACGCAAGTTTTCGCGTCGCTCTCCCAGCATGATCGGTCATGTGGTATGGTAACAGCCATTCTTGATAGTGAGTATTAAAAGCCACTAGAATGACGATTCTACGTCTCTGGGCGCATGCCGAGCCTCATCAGACGTCTCACTCATATGTTGGAATGGTCATCCCATGATCTCAACTGCGTGTCAACTAGAAGGCACAAAACAGAAAAATTCGGTACCTGCCCCTTGCACACCATGAAAAAACCTTACGTAAAGTTTAATTTATAGCGTTTATGCGACAGTTTATAAACACTTTTTACTAATCAGCAAAACACCACTCCAAAACTGTATTGCAATGAATGGACCTATTTTATTATTTCAAAGTTCATGTGCGAGTTAATTTTTTTCGTTCACCAATACTTAGTTAATAACTACATACAATTTACATTAACATTATCTATCATGCCAATTTCTGGTATCTTGAAGTTACCTGTTTAGTACAGGTAACTTCCCATTTAGCAAATCATTTTGCGTTAAACGTGTTGGGCGTAAGTCCTGTATCTTTAGATACAGAACGTCGCTTGACTTAATTTGTACGGGGAGCTTGTTACACCAAACTCTATTATCGGTAATAAATTAAAAAATTTATACTTTTTCAGATGTCTGAAACATTCCCCGTATTCCTTAGGCTTTAACCAATCTTTTTACGTTTTTTCTTCATTATTTGCGTAAAATCTTCGTGAAATAAAGGCAAATTACGAAAAAAAACTATAAACAGCTTTTTCTCAAGACTAGGTTTCGTGAGATACATGAGATACGTCTGACACGGCAGTCCTGCATTGAGATGGGTAAACAACATTGTCAAAGTCGCAGGTCGTAGATGAGTGAGACAAGCGTAAAATCGTGGCGATCTTATACCCAGCAATGCGTGGATTTTTTTTCATGGTACTAAGTAACGGGACGAAGAAGTCATGCGCCTGGTGGTAAGCGACACGCCTATCCATAGCAGTTAACACTGCCACTGCGCCCGTCACCCATGTGCCTGTAATTTAACCAGCGCCCGCAAAATCTGAACCGTAGCAATGCTTACATAACTGGTTGGCGGCAGAAATAGGTAAGTCGGCAGAACTTCCCTGGACGAACTCTTTTACAAGGACCTGCTATTGACAGTGTCGAGTTTTGGATGGTGTGGATAATGAAGTAACAAAGATGTTATTTATACCCATTCAATTTAGTCTTCCGTTTATACGTATATAGGTACCTAGAACTTATATAGATTTTACCTTGTAGCAAGAAAACTCTGGCTAATTGCATAAAAACGTTTAATTTATCGCTAAGAAACGTGTTTCAACAACGCATAATACATACACACAATATCTCATTTGGTTACAAAAACATTAGGCGCTTCTTGAAAATCATAAACATAATGATACACTTACAAAATTTCTACTACCATCATACCATCAAAGATTAAATTATACGTTCCTCTTTATATTAGTATAGTAACGAACAAAAACGAACTACCAAGAACTGTCTAAGTTGTTACAATTTTATTTCATATTGTACAAAAATCATTTGCATCAGGCTAATTTTCTGAAACGGAACGTCTTTGTACAACGTTTGACATTTCTGACGTGTCTTTGCAATATAAAATCGACGACTATCGGTGCGATATAAATGCCACCGCTACATATTAGTTATTGTTGAATTTAATATTAACTAGACAAAATGTATTCAGTGCTAACAAGAGGTAACGCTATCCTTACGTACACCCTGAGTGTGCTAGCATGTCTCACCTTCCTTTGCTTTCTATCCACTTTAACAGTGGATTACAGAACTGCAGCAAATATGAACACGGTAAAAGTAGTCGTGTAAGTAAAAAACAATGTTAAAACAATCACATCTTACTTGTATTTGATATTTTGGATTCGTTACTAGTGTTGTTTCTGTGACGTTGCAGGAAAAATGTACCGGACTACGGTGCGTCTAGGGAGAGGAATGATCTCGGTTTCCTGACTTTTGATCTGAAGACTGACCTGTCGTCACTGTTTAATTGGAACGTAAAGCAGTTGTTTCTATACCTTACCGCAGAATATGTAACCCCAAACAATGAACTGAATCAAGTGGTTCTCTGGGATAAAATCATCCTCAGAGGAGAGAATGCTATTCTAGACTTTAAGAATATGAACACTAAGTACTATTTCTGGGATGATGGAAATGGTCTGAAGTAAGTAGCCCTCAATTCCATACATTATGAAATTTATTATTATTATTCTTTACCTACTCATTAAATACAATGGTAAGGTTAAATAAATTATAAGTAGCAATAGAACTGCTTGTGAAAGAGTTCATCCAGAGCAGTACTGCCACCACATCTTTTTCTGCCGACAAGCAGTAATGTCAGCATTGCTGTGTTCTGGTTTTGAAGGGCTTACTGTTCTGTTTGTTGGGTGCTGGTTAAATTACAGGCACATGTGGTTTGTCAACTTGTCTCAGGATAACTGGATCCACTGACAGTGACCCTCAAATCTTAGTGCATTAAAGCTCTAGAATGGCACTGTTATGGACAGGTACGTCATTTACAACCAAGCTCATGACTTGTTTGTCTTGTCATTTGATTTAAAAAAAAACATGAATGCAATTATTAGAGTGACTTCATTCAGGGCATCAGGGCCCTCACCTCACCATTGACTAATCTATTGTGGTCACCAGTACAGAGCAAAGGCAGAGACAGCATTAACCCATTGACTGCCGAAGGTAATCTACAAGCCGAAATCGGTGGCCACCATACAAATGGTCTTCTACGCAACAATACGTAGCCGGCATCGCAGATAAAATTCTTACTGCGGGTGCCAATATACGCAATATTGCGTATACGTAATGATGCGAACTTCGGCACCTCGGATCAAAAACAATGCTCATTACCTATCCTGCTCACTCCTGTAATAATTAAATACGCCCCCCGCGTGAAAGGGGATTCACCAAATATTAAATACTGTT